CTATAAAGCTCACACACATTATTGTTGACGTATTTTTTCAAACGTATGTATCTTCGAGATCTTAGGAGCTGGAAGACACAACCTGTGTGTCATGGATTTGTGCATTTTATTGTTTAAATGGTTAGCCAATCTGTTAGGCCACTCGCGTTTGTAGAACTAGTTCTGGTATCTATCGTCCCTTAGATTGACGACAATGTAATTTCCCTTAGATTTATGGAAGAATGTAATGTTTGTATTATTCAATATATGTTGTGAACCGTGATCCAATGTTTACATCGCAAACCCGACGTTTATTCTGTCGGTCAAGGTGTGGTAGGATGTTAGACCATGTAAAGACTCAAAGTAAGATGGTCGATCGAGGACTGGTCAACTAGAGAAAAGCCTCTCGGAGGAAATCTAGTTAATCTGGTAAGTAGATACGTTTCTGCTAGCATATGTTATGTGATTTGATGATATGTAAATTGCAATTTATTACATGATGTTTGTGTGTTATTATATTAATCACATATAATTTGTATAATGGGTGAGTTTTCGATTTCACACTGAGCCCTAGGCTTACAGTTGCTACTTAGACTAGAGGGTGTACTCATCTTTCACCACTCACTTTTTCTATGTCACGTCAGTTTTCCACTCACCCATCTTTCACTCACCAAAAGCTAGAAAATGGTCACATTTCACTAATTTTTATTTTTTATTTTTTAATTTTTAATATATATATATATATATATATATATATATATATATATATATATATTTTACTCGTTTTGTAGGGAATTAAAAACCATGAATTTTAATATATTTTTTATAATTTTTTAGTATAGATATACTTTAATAAAACTTAAAAAAGAAAAAAAAATGAAAAATTAAATTAAATGCAACAGCCAATTAAACGAAGAGAGAATGAATGGAAAAAATACCCCTCACCTATAAACCGCAGCCATGGTGTAGTGTTCATGGGTGCGGTGTAGGCTCCTTTCACCCTCCCCGCACGGTACACCGTCCGGCCTTAATGTCTTATAGTAAGACTTATTGGTGTGACGAAGGGCAAGAAGTCGGCATGATAATAACATCTGGACATTCTCGAGGGCATAACATCTACCTATCTATGTATCTCGTATTTATTTGTTTGTGAGATGATTTTTCAAAACATTTTTATGCTTTTGTACTTTGATGTCTTTTTCGATACTAGTATGGGATGAAACATGTCGTTTCCAAGTTGACGTTGTATTATGATTTGAAATTAACGGTATACTAAGTTTGTATACTTTTAAAAATAAATAAAAAGAAGAGATGTCACAGTACCTCATAAGTTTATCAAAATATTTTTTATTAAAATATATTTTGGTATTTCATACACTATTAAACATTTTTAAGTGAAAACATAACTTATTTTATAGATAAAATTGCAATAATGGTCCATGCGGTTAGGTGAAAATTGTCACTTTGGACCAAAAGGTTTGGACTAGCATTTATGGTCCAAAAGTTTTCATTTTCTTGCCACTTTGGTCCAATTTACTTTAAAGTTTTTTGTAATGATGATTTTGACTTTGGTTTTTGTTTTTTTAGTTTTTTATTTTTATTTAAATACTTTTATAATTAAAAGAAAAAATAAAAAAGAAAATACATCTCTATGTCTCTCTATATTTCTCTCTTTCTCTCTCTCCCCTGTGAAAAAGAAAGTCAAAAACCCCCCACCCACTTCTTCTTCTTCCCCAATCTAGATATGATGAACACACATACACACTTCCAAATCATATGAACATATGGAGTTTCAGATGCGACAAGATCCGTCTTCTCCTCACGCCTTATCTATAATCTGGAGGGTGTGGAAGATCTGTTCCATGTCATATTTGTAGGGAATCTTTACACTTAAACCCAAATTTATATGTTTTCTCTCACTATCGACGTTCCCCTTCTCCGACTAATCCATTATCGGTTTGTTCTTAAACATACACGCACACTAGGTTTTACATAAAAACACACGCTAGATGAATGCAAGAGATCAGAAAAACATGAAACCAAATGTTCAAGAACTCAAGAACTTGGATTCAAGATGTTTGTTCTTCAAGGATTTTGCAGATTTTGACTTTGATCATAAACACGAAACACATACACAAAACCCAGATCTTAGGTGGAACGCCACCTCTCACCATCTCTCTTACAGATAGGGTTTCAGATCTTGAATCCAAGACAAAAACCCAACATTCCGCGGCCATCGCCATTCCAACGAACGTTAGGGTTTCCGAAGACATTGACGTTCAAAAAAGAGGGCCTCCACCATTGCTATCGCAAGTTGTTTCCTTCGTGATCATCCTCTTGCCGCCGTCTCAATCTCATATCCATGCAAAAGCAAACCGGCGAAAAGGTTTTTTATCAGTGGGATCCAATAATCGGTTGGTCCCTTTACTTGAAAGTTATAAGTCCAATTCCACTTTGGGGAATTGGACATTTAGTGACATGAACAACAACTAATTCTTTTTTCATATGGGAGAGAGAGAGAGAGAGAGAGAGAGAGAGAGAGAGAGAGAGAGAGAGAGAGAGAGAGATGTATTTTTTAATTATAAAAGTATTTAAATAAATAAAAAAACTGAAAAAACAAAAGCCAATGGCGAAATCGTCATTACAAAAAAAAATTAAAACAAATTGGACCAAAGTGACAAGAAAATGAAAACATTTAAAACCATAAGTGCTAGTCCAAACCCTTCTGACCCAAAATGACAATTTTCATTTAACGATATAGACCATTCTTACAGTTTTGTCTATTTTAAGTAAACAAGCTCAAATACCCTTGAAAATAGTAATATGAAAAACAAGATCGACCTAAATCAAGTTGTGGCTTTATCATCACTAAAAGATAATTATCTACATCCCATGTCTCATTGATAAATCTATTTAAAAAAAATCAACAAAAATCAAGGTTTTCCATCAATAGCACAAATTTCACATGTTTGTCTATGAAATTATTGGTTTGCCTGTGAAAAATGCCTAATACAATGTTTCGGAAAAATTTAAAAACAAAATTTTATAGATTGGCCAACGAATTGGAAGGTTTGATCTACAAAAGTTACTCTTCGTTGAGAAACTATTTAAAAATTTTACGAAAAATGTGATTTTCATTGTAAAAAAAATATTTTTTGAAGTGTTTTTTAGTAGTAATTTTCAAATATTATTTTAACAACTTTATATTGTTATAACAAACTTTTGGTTGAGAGGGCTTTTAAAAAAAATATATAGAGTGTGTTTGGCAAAACAAACTTGTACGTGATAACTAGAAGCTCGAAGTTAATATTTAGTAGCTCGTAGTTAGAAACTTTAACTTTTATTTGTTATATAAATGTTTGGTAAAAATAGTTAAAAAAATTTAAAATATATAAAATTACATAAAATAACTATTGTTTAAAAAACATATGTATAAATATATTTTGAAGGGTAATTCTAGAAATTGATTAAAAATGTCCAATAACTTTTTCTTAAATATAATATGAAGTGACTTTTAGATTTGAAGTTTTTTTAAAACTAAAAACTAAACGCTTGTACTCACAAACAAAGTTTTTTTGTTTAAATCGACATTTTTGTTAAAAGCTAACAGCTAGAAGTTCACAAACGTCTACCGCCAAACACACCCTATAAGTAAAATTTTATTTTTGCCTAATTTTTCTTTTAAAAATAAAACCTCAATAATTTTGTCTAGATTTGTGTTTTTTATATTTTATTAAAGACTATATGTGAGACTTGTGTACTACATGAGTTTATTAAAAATAAAGTTCAATATAAATGTTTAAATATTAAATGTTTTTTGAAATAAAACTTTATATAAATACAAACAATATAATGAATAAGTAAGTAATTTAATTTATACTAATAAAAAACTATTAACATATTGTAAATAACGATGTTGAAAATTAATGAGTAAACATTAAACATTTTTTAAAGTAAACTTTCGAAATAAATACAAATGAAATAATGAATAAGTATATAATTTGAATGTATACTGATAAAAAAAACTATTGATATATTTTAAATAATTTTTATGAATCACAAATTTCTAAAGACTTTCTTTAAATACAACATTAGATATTTTGCTTACCATCTTTGTCTAAAATTAACATTTTTAAATTTTAATCCATTTTTGTTTTTAACTATCAACAATGCAATATACACAATTGTACGAGAAGATATCGAGTTGTCCTTCCGAGTACGGCATATCGAGTTAAGGGGCGGTGTTACCAGATTCCATGTCATGAGTACCACTTCCCGTAAGCCCTATTAGAATAGATTGTTGAAATGGAATCTCAAATAAGAGCAAAGGAATCTTAAAACAAAGATCCGTTTTTAATGATTATGTCATCATTTCATATGCTCCTACACCAACTACCACAGGTAATGCCAAAAAACATGTTACATCCCACATGCTATGCAATGTGCAAACGTTAACCCTTAAAATGATTGATCTATAGATGTGACAAGATTCATCGACATAAACTAGTGTGTTTTTCATGTTTTACAAAAACGAAACCATCTTTATAAATCCAAACACATTTTCAAAGTAATTACTATGCCATGTAATTGTTACATTTAAATAAATCGTTTAAAAAAGGTGCATGAATTTAATTGAGTTTATATTTCTTTCTTTAAAACGGCTTAACATATTCCATTATTTTATTCTAATATTTATACATTTTTGTCTCTCTAGTGAGTCTTGACCCTTCAAATTTAAGCTCAGAAATATTTCTGTCAACTCATACTAGACTATAACTCATTTGGTTACAAAAAGTAGTTTACTAAAATCAAATTTACCTTCAAAAGTTATTTTGTTATAACAAACACATAGTTGGTCTCTCAAAATCTATTAATTTAGTCCTATAAAACCATATAAAAAAAACATTATCTTGTTTGTCGCTACAAAATTAATAATTATGACTTTCAAAATCATAATATTAGGTTTGTAACCACCCAAAAACTGTCATTTAAGAAATTATTGCATACCATTATATAATATATTTGTCCATTACTATATAACATTGGCATAAATTTTGTGTATGAATGCATACATACCTTCTTATTTCACTTCCTCATTTCCACTCTCAAAGTCATTACCTTCTTCAAGTATACACATACATTACAAAACCATACTTCTCTTAAACTAAAAACAAGCCACAACTTTCATAACACAACCAAACCACAAGCCATTAATAAACTCTCAAAGCGACAAAGATTGTTGAACACCCATTCTTCTCTTTCTAAGTCGCTCAGCTATGATGAAAGCAAGCTCCAATGATTGAGACGCATTGAGCCGTGGGTCACAATGGGTGTGGTAACGTGAGCTGAGGTCATCAAATGTCACGGTTCTTGAACCACCAATGCATTCGGTCACATTTTGACCTGTCATTTCAAGATGAACACCTCCCGGATGGCTTCCTTCTTGCTCATGCACATCAAAGAATGCTCTTACTTCCGCCTATTACAACAACATATCATTAGACTTCAAACAAATGACACGTATAGTTTTAAGCTTTTTTCGTTTTTTATAAAGTTGATAATAAGGGCAAATGAGATAAGTAGCTTTACCCTAATAGCATCAAAAGGACGAGTTTTGAGTCCCGATGGAGCCTTAATGGTGTTGCCATGCATGGGATCACTAACCCATGTCACAATTTGACCGGCTCTTCTAACCGCCCTAATAAGATGCGGAAGTTTGACCCTCATATTCTCCGCCCCCATTCTTGTTATAATCGTAATCCTCCCGGGCTTGTTTTGAGGGTTCAAGATGTCAATAAGCTTCACCAACTCATTTGGATCCATCTTGTCACTCACCTACAAGGACAAAATCGTAATTTTAGCTCTTTTTCATCAAAAGGGTGTAAGAAAGATCATAAATACCTTAATTCCAAGTGGATTTGCGATTCCTCTTAGGAACTCAACGTGCGCACCATCGAGCTGACGTGTCCGCTCCCCGGCCCATAAGAAATGGGCCGAACAATCATAATACAAGCTTGAAGTTGAATCTAGTCTTGTGAGTGATTGTTCATAAGGCAAGTGTAAGCACTCGTGTGATGTCCAAAAATCGGTAGTTGTCATGATTGGGTGATCGGGTGTAAGCCCAACAGCTGACATGAACCCGAGTGCCTCATCAACTCGGCTAGCTAGCTCAAGGTACCTAATTAAAATCGTTACATAAAATTCTCATCACTAAATGTATCTAAATCATACAATAATTAGAGTTGACAAAAATCAACCCAACCCAGAGTTAGCAGGTTGTGTTGAGATTTTCAACCCGTTTAATTAAAATAGTTGGGTTGGGGTTGAAACTTATAACGTGATCCCAACCCTTTAAGATTTAATTTTTTTTTATTTAATCTTATAAATTAAAAAAGTACAAAAACAAAACCGTAAAGTTTTTAAGAATGTTATGTGGAGAAGTAATTTGTAGTTTTGTTTCTTTTTAACTTCGTACAATTTTTTGGGTTTGTTTTATAGCTAATCTAACTAAAGTCTAAGTTTTTTTATTTATTTAAACTTTGAAATTTAAATGGGTCAACCAGGGTGGGTTGGGTTGAAAATCTCCCGAACCCTGACCCATTGCCAGCTCTAACAAAAATCAAGAATCACGAAACATGACTCCAAGATTTTTATAAAAGATCTTAAAAGACTATTATACCCATCATAAATTTCAAAACTTGTGATGATTAAAGATCATGGATCACCAAAAAACGAACAACATACCTATCACCCTGTTCGCTTTGCTCTGTGAAATCAAGATTCCATTGAGTAACCCTTTGCATAGCAGCATACCCTCCGGTGGCAAAAGCCCTCAAAAGATTAAGAGTGGCTGCTGATTGACAATATGCTCTAATCAATCTTTGAGGGTCTGGTGTTCTTGACTTTAAGTCAAAGGCATCGCCATTTACATTATCCCCTCTATAACTTGGTAGCTTCACTCCATCTTTCTCCTCAAAATTATCTGATCTGGGTTTCGCAAATTGACCAGCCATTCTTCCTACCTGTTTTCATCAAATTTGACAAGAATCCAAATTTAATTCAAAATTTCAAACTCAAACACGAACAAGATCTTCAATCCTTTCATGTAATAATCTAATTTACCCTTCAATCTTTTAACCTAAATCAATAGCATCAACTTCTTAGCTGAATTTTTTACTAAATAATAGATTATGATCCACACCCGTTTTCAACTTTGTATTATTTAGAGAATTGAGATATTTTAGATGTTTGGTTGTTGGACAAAAAGTTATATTATATTATATTTGTTGGCTTTCAGAGATTCATATAATCATTTTGAAATTTAAGGAGAAAAATCATAATTTTAATAGCACAAGAAAGTGAGAAACATTTATTAGTATACATAAAGGTTTCAGCTTTATAATCTTTTTCTCAAATTTTAATTCAGATTGCTTACTTTATATAAAATTGGATTCAAATTGAGTCCAGATTGAATGAATTACCCAGAAAATTGAAAAGGGTTAACTTGAAATCATAAAAAAAACATGTGAGTAATGAATAAAGAATTGACCTTAATGACAGGCATTTGACCTCCGAACATCAACACAGCACCCATTTGAAGAATCACTCTGAAAGTATCACGAATATTGTTGGCATTAAACTCTTTGAAACTCTCAGCACAATCACCACCCTGGAGAAGAAACGCATTTCCCATGGCAGCCTCTCCGAGCCGTTCCTCCAGGTGGCGTGCTTCTCCGGCGAACACAATAGGTGGGAATGAATCGAGGGTTTGGAGCACCGAATCGAGCTCTGCTTGATCTGGGTATTCGGGAAGTTGAAGTGCCTTTTTGGTTCTCCAGCTGTCTATGCTCCATTTGTTAGGAACTGGGGTTTTTGTCGTGGAGGTGACTTTTGGAGTGGTGGTGGTGGAGGTGGCGGCGGTGGCAGGGGATGAAGGTTTTGATGACGACGACTTGTCAATTGGGGTTTTTGATGGGTCTGGCGAATGGACGGCAAAGATTGGCTGGATGACTCTGGTGGAGGAGGTGGCGGCGGTGGTGGTCGGAAGAGATTTTAGTGGTGGTGGGAGAGATTGAATTTGGAAGGATTTGGTGGGTAGGAGAGAATTGGTGCTTGAGAGTGCCATTTTCGTAAATAGCTTGTGATCCAAGGGTATCTTTAGGGGTTTGGTGCATCATGAAACGAGTGGTTATATAATAAGGGGGGTGGAGGTGGGTGGGAGGACTAGGAAGGGGGTTTGGTAGGAAAAGGAAAAATAATATTATCATATTAAATGTTTTATTTTAATTTTTTATATCAGAGAAAATGATCGTAATATTATTATTTTTAAATTTTTTTTATAAAATTGCAAGAAAATAAAAAATACTCAAAATAACTGCAAATGACTACCAGCTCAGCTGGTAAGATGCATTCAGGTTTTTCCTCTTAGGAATTTTCTCCTGTGAGGTGGTGGATTCGAGTCTTACTCGGATCAAAGTGGTGAAAAAAATAGGGAGGCGGAAAGGGAGGCGATTATGGGTTGCCCGTTTTGCGAACCCGAGTCTAACGTTCCCGTGTATGCCAACATATATTAACTCCATCATTTCCGAAAAAAACTCAAAATAATTATAATTTAGGTTAATGTCATTAGCCCTATAAACTTCCCAATAATCAAGCGCTAACTTATCCCACATCTACTTCTCTCTCCATATATATATATATATATATATATATATATATATATATATATATATATATATATATATATATATATATATCTTATTACCTTAAAAAAGCATTTAGCTATTTTAAGACAAGGAAGTCTTAATTTTAAGTAATACAAAATTTAAAGCCTAAAATACAAATATTTTATGCATGAATGCATTGATAAGCTTATCACTCCGAATGTTTGACCAAACCTATGACCGATTCATACCACAAATTAGGAGTTTTTGTTATATTCAACTTTGAATTCCAAATGTAGCTAATATCTTGGTCACCGATCTCCTTAAATGATTCTCACACACTCTCTCTCATATTTTGTTCTCTCGAAACACGAATGTTGTTCGCCCCTTCATCTCCATGATCAGTTAACACCACCACCTGTTTCTTACCTAACCGGTGACTTCCACAACCACACACCATCGTCTACACCACCATCATCGATGAAGTCAGCATCGCCATTACCCTACCACAATCTTTTCCGGTTTTTTCCCTCATGTAAGATTTCACATAATCTCTAGATCACCTTCTTTCTTTCCCTTATCTTCTTTTATTCCAGTCACCACCTCACACCACTCCGTTCTCTCTAAGAAACTGAAGACACCCCAAATCCAAACCCTAGAAACCATAGAATCTCGAACCATTTTCGTCGGGTAAAATATCATATCTGTTGTTTGATGATCTAAACGATGTGAAATTGAAAAACTTTTATGGGTTTTGATTTGCAAGTTGTTTTGGGTTTTCCCAGACGTTGCTGTCGTCACCACCATCCAAGAAGGTAATTTTCATACGAATCATCCATTCTTTTTAGGGGTTTTGATTTGCAGGTTGTTTTGTGGTGTGCTTCAAGTTTTTTTTGTTTTTTAAACTGTTTAATTGTTTGCGATTGTAATTTCAGCATCTTTTATGGGTTTCAATCAACATCTTTTCTTGCTGGGTTGAATTGCATATAATTGGAGGATTTTGTTTAATTTTGATTGTGAGCTATTGACCCCACTTGGGATAAGGCATAAAATTGATTTTGTTTTAGCAGGTTTATTCTATTTGCTTGATTGAGAATGGACATCATGGTGAATTGGATTTTATTCTGATCTTTTTTTTTGTTCCTGATGTTATCGATACTTATAACTTTTGACTTTCTGCAGTTAACAATGAGGATAGTCCATAAGAGTACTGCTCCAAGTATCAAACCAGATGAAACATACATAATTGGTAATTTTTTTACATATTATCAATATTTAATTAGTCTTTATCTTACTATTTTGGTTCTTGATGAAATTTCATTTTACATTACATAAACTCGATATTTATTTCTCTTGGCATGGTTAATATTCAGAAATGAACCTTGAGAGGATGAAGGATGATTTTAGCTTCTTTGCTTCATGATTGGTAAGTTTTGACATTTTATTCCCCATGACACCAAGAATTTTTTTTAAATTTCTGAAATTTTTATAGTTCCATGTATATTATAGTTAATATTTCATATCCTTGAGTATATAACAATTCCCATTATATACTTAACCACCCTTTTCCTTCCATGTTACAGATTCTATCCACCATGCCTATCTTTGCTCTTCAGTTCTTATATCACCGCTTGCTCCTTTCATGTCCACAACTTAATCGGTATGTCAGCATATAAGCTCTATTTCATTTTCTCTTTAATGAAAAGAGTCTCTGAAGTGCTCCATGGAAGGATGTGCTGTCAAAAGTTCAATAAGGGGAAAGGGTATTTTCATCTTATTATTCTTAGGTACAATAACTAATGGTTTGACCAATTTGGTTTGTTGTTGGGGTTTTACCATTGAGTTGTAATATGTTAACAAGAGATGAAGTGTGGGGATAAGAAAAGGGCATTATGGTCTTTTTTGATAATATGTAAGAAAAATGCATTATGCATTTTGGTTGTAACTAGAGTAGAGTCCATGAGAAAGAACAAAAAATCCCCAATTTCTGAAACGACCTTGCAACTGTAGACGATGTTTTATATGACCATTTTGTTAGGCGAGGCCTCCGTCACTCTATATTTTTTAGGTATTAAATAATATTTATTTGACCTGAATGCTTTTTTAATAGGTATATTTTGGTAACTAACATATTGGCATATGGTGACAGTATGATGGACAGGGATGAATTTTTGCAACATTTTTGTCCAGAAATCTTGATTGAGGATTCAAGTGTTGGGAATGATGTTTCTCCATTACCCCATGTTGCACTTTTCCATGGAAGTGCGGATTTTTCAATTTTCAGTACCACCAGAAAACCTTGTTTGACTTCCATGTATTTACTACTTTGCTATACACGAATATCTTGAAATATATTTGATCTTTTGTAGTATAAGTTTTATGGATTGCAAATTCCACCATGAGTTCCAACTTCTATTTCTTCTACCTATCTTATTTGTTCATGTTTTCATTAATGGTCTTGGCATGTATTTCGAGGTTTGCATGGTAAATTTATGTTTTTGTTTCCTATTTAGGTTTGAACCTTTAATTTCAATAATGATGATCTTGATTTGATTGGGGAAGCTAATATGAGCTGCATAATTCTATGATGCTTACCCCCTACAACATCAACATGGCATAATAGAGTTATCTAATATAATTATTCTCACCCGTCGCTTAGCGCGGGTAAACGGCTAGTATATATATATATATATATATATATTATATATATATATATATATATATATATATATATATATATATATATATATATAAGACTTATAGTCCATGCATTCAATTGTTCGCCAAATCCTTTTGATTTAAGTCTCTAATTTAACTCATTTCATTCACTTCCTCTCGAGAAGTTAATTTTGATATAATTTTTGCATCAGAAATGCTTGAGTTGTTTTATCATGTAAAAACAACATGAGAAATCTGAAATTGGGGTCGGACTAGATATGCATTATGTTAATTTTAAAATATCAAAGGGTTTATGTCAAGATTAACATTGTAAAAAATATTTATTATCAGGGTAATAAATGTAATTTATGAGGATTTGGTTTGTGAGTAATTTCTTGTGCAGGGTTTGTTTTGTTGTTTTGTGATTCTTCAAGACCGCGGTTGTGGAATATCATAATTTGTCTTACAACTTTGTATCGGTTTTACTTTGCTCGTGTTTCCTTCACTCATCTTCTTCATATAGATTAGGAATCTTCCATGTGTATTAATTTGATTCCGTAATCAGAGTCTTATATTCTTGTTTTCTGTTTGAGTGTGAGTGTTTATGTAGGTGAGGTTTCAGTTGTAAGTACCTGAAAACCAACTGGTCTTATTTTCCCTTAATGAAAAGATTTGTTGATGTTGTGATAATATGTTTTTTGTGTTAGTTTGAGTTTTTGAGCATGGTATCAGATCATGTTTAAGTTATGCGTTGTTTTTTTGGTCATCTGATTGTATCTGAGTTGAGTTAGGGTTTTCTTCTCTTCTTCAATTTAGGGTTTGTTTTCTCATCGAGTTAGGGTTTCATCTGTTCATCGAGTCTTCTTCTCGATCTGTTGTCTGGTTGCATCGGATTAAATTATGGTTATCTCTATTTGTCCCTCGTGCTGTATTGTGAACTTCATCTCGTACATCGTCGTTTCTTGAGAGTAAATGTTTAGCTTAAGAGTAAACATTAGGTCTAACATCTTGTTACCTCTAACGGCCAAAGTTAAGCCACGGTCAACCTCAAGGGCGCAAACGGTGCAATCTGAGTGGTTCTTGGTGGTAGTTGGCATTTGAATATCGTTTTTGTTCAGTTTTAAGTCTATCGGTCTTGATAGACCTAACGGTAAACTACTTTGCTACTTTACATAGCGTATTTGTGGAGCACTGTAAGTTTCGCACACTTTATCTCTTGTTTGTTCAAGTTTTGTCTTGGGAGTTTATCTGTTGTCTGTTTTTGTTGATCTAATTACTACAACCTGTTTGTCACATAAGTTATATTAGTCATGGTTGGAGAAAATTCATCTCTTGGATCTGGATCTGGAACAAAGAATCCAGATCATTATGATTTTGATGATCCTCTTTTCTTGCATCCTTCTGATAACGGTGTTGTTTCTATCATTTCTTTTAAACAGTCTGGTAATGAGAACTATAGAATATGGAAAAGCTCTATTACTAGGGCACTAATAGGTAGAAATAAGTTAGAATTTGTTGATAAAATTTTTCCTAAACCAATTACAGATGAAACTAAAATTCAGTGTGAATGTTGTTGTGTGTTCTTGGATTTTAGGTTCAATTTCTGAGTCTTTGTATGCAAATCATGCTTGTATTGAACTTGCTTATGATCTTTGGTCTGAATTGAATGAAACTTATCACAAGGCAGATGGTTCAGTTGTTTTTAATATTCAGCAAAAGATTAATTCTCTTACTCAAAGTGGTTCAAATGTATCTGAATATTATGGTAAACTTAATGCTTCGTGGAAAGAGTTTGATGGTCTGGTTAATATGGTTGAATGTACATGTGAAG